TTGTGAAGGTCATTGGTCTCCATGAAATTGGTGACATGACTCCTAATCACTCTCTCAAATACTTTTATGATGTGCGATGTTAGTGCAACTGGTCTATAATTCTTTGCCAATGCTTTGCTCCCTCCCTTGTGTAGAGGGGCTATGTCTGCTACTTTAAGTGCATCTGGCATCTTCCCCCGTATCCAAGCTCTTCCTCCACACTATACTGAGTGCCTGTGCTATCGGCACTTTGCATTTCTTTATAAATATTGAATTCCACGAGTCTGGACCTGGGGCCGAGTGCATGGGCATGTTTTCAATTTCTCTTTCAAAATTTAGTGCGCTTGTGTTGATATCGGTTATATTTACAGGGGTTTGAATATCCCGCATAAAGAAATTGTCTGGATCTTCCACTTTCATGTTGTTTATTGGAGTGCTAAACATGTCCTCATACTGCTTTTTTAGGTTTTCACTAATTTCTTTGTCATCCTCCGTGTATGAACCTTCACTTGTACGAATAGGTCCAATACTGGCAGTGGTTTTTGCTTTTGATTTCGCATATGTGAAGAAATATTTTTGATTTTTCTTTATTTCCTGAATTGCTTTCTGTTCTAACTGCCTTTCTTCAGTTTCATACGAGTGTTTAAATTTCCGCTCGATTTCTTCAAATCTCCCTATTTAAATCATTCCTTCTTTGACGGGAAATTCGTGTCTGCATAAGCAGTTCCATTATTTTTTCCTGCGTTTATAATGTCGTCTGCGTTCTCTTTCTACGTTGGATCTCTTTCTGGCTTTCCTCAAAGGAACATGTTTCAGACAGACTTGATACACTTCCAAAGTCAGTTTTTCTATTCCTTCTGTAGGACTTTTATTACTTAGAACAGTTTCCCATGGAATGTTTGTAAGTTCCCTGTTTATTATCTCCCAGTCTATCCTTTTATTATTAAAATTTAATTTACTGAATAGCCCCTCTCGCTTTATCAACGTTTTAGGTCTATTCTGAGTATTGATGGTCGTTTGCACTTCAATGAGCTTGTGATCCGAATATGTGGTATCTGATATCGTAATGTCTCTGATAATGTCTTCATTGTTCGTAAAGACCAGATCTAAAATATTTTCATTTCTCGTTGGCTCCGATATCTGCTGATTGAGTGAAAATTTGTCACAGAATCTAAGTAGTTCTCTAATCTGTGGTTGGTTAGGTCCTGATAGATTTCCTGGTATAATATTATTGTTTGCTATTCTCCACCTGAGACTAGGCAAGTTGAAGTCACCTAGGAAGATAATATCAGGTATCGGGTTCTCCAAATTATCAAGGCTATTCTCCATTTTGTTTATCTGTTCTGTGAATTCCTCAGCCGTTGCATCTGGTGGTTTGTATATTAGAATAATCACTAAATTTATTTTCTCTATTTTTAATCCCAGTACCTCTACCACCTCATTTGTAACGTTTAGGAGCTCCGAGCATACAAGGCCTTCCCTAATATACAGACCCACTCCTCCATGTGACCTAATTTTCCTATCACGCCTGTATAGGTTATATCCTGGAATCCAGATCTCACTGTCTAAGAATTCCCCTGCATGGGTTTCCGTGAAAGCTCCAAATACTGCATTTGACTCCGTGAGGAGGCCATTTATGAACTGTACTTTGTTGTTTGTTCTTGTTTTCAGTCCTTGTATGTTGGCAAAGATGAATGAGGTTACTCTATTAGTGATAGTTTGAATGGGAGACTTTTTCGACAAGCCCATTATGTGTGGACACAATGAGTTTGTTCTGACCAGTACTGATTGTTGTAGGGCAGTTGCCTGTCATTGTTGTACTGTAGTTCCCTTTCGGTGCGTAATTGTATCTGTAATTCTGGAATGCAAGTGGATCTGGCATCCAGTTCCATACACTCTCCATACTGCTCCTTTTGAATTCTCTTTCGGTCTGGTATAAAAAATTTATAGTTTCCTCCAAATTCATTATCCTGCTTGCCGCTCTTTATGTAGCGTTCCGTGCCTTTCACGTGAAAGTGTGGGCAGCCGAGGTCATAGCATTTTCTGTCCTCCAGTGAGGTTTGGCACATGTCAGGATGGAAAAAACCTACATATTGATCCAAATCGACACTCACCTTTCCTAAGCATATTTAAACATTTTTTGGGATGTTGGTAACTGCATTCTAATCATTTCTTATTACCAGCATATCTATGTCTGCATATGCCCATCACCCAAATGGCTCCTCCCAGCATAATACTTTTGCTGTTATTACACTAATACACACATTATATATAAGTATCTACATTTGTGTTCATCATAGAGAACCACTGAGCTGGTATGGTGAATGCAAACAATAACAGGTGGCCACACAGACAGTAAACGATGCTATCTCCCTCCGTCTCTCAGCATCACTCGTCCCACAGCACTAATTATTACAACAATCCTGCTATTATCACAACCCTGGTTATTTATATCAGTCAGGGGTCATCTGTAATAGTGTCATCGCTAAATAATAGCAATTATATATATTTATTTTGACATTTTTCGGCGATGCTGTGGTCAGACGCTGAACAGCAATGCTGTTCGCTCATGCTGCGTGCGTCAGCCTTAGTTGCTCCAACAGTACTGTGCCTCTCACACCTGAGAATATTGCCCACGATTTTTTTTATAAATGGCGTCTGTTTACAAGAGCCCTGAGGAAGCTAATGTGAACCCCGTGTAGCCGCGGGCCATTTGAATCGGGCCTGGCACCCTATGGCGTATATATACGCCATGCGCACGGTGGGACATGTTACTCAGGGCGTATATATACGCCATGCGCAGTTTAAGGGTTAAAGATTTTTAAAACCCAAACTAGTGTATATAATGTCAATTGGTGAAGCACTATTATTCTATGTGATAAATTATAGTGCTTATTATAACTTACTAAGAACAACTAATATTTCTCAAAACAAAACTACGAGCCTTCAATACGATGTAGCTGATCTGTAATATTTTAAGAGCATGGACAATAGCAGGTAAATTTCACAACCCATGTGGGACCTGAAAACTATAATTTTCATTATAATTGAACCAATCATGACTACTCTGCTGTCTACGGCAATGGACGGGTACTGCGAGACGTAAATTGGTTAGTGAGGAAGAGTTTGGGCCTTGGAAAAAATGTAACTGGGAATATACCACATATGTACTGATTTATATTCAACATATTGACTTTAAGCATTAAGTCATATGTGCTGTCTTGTGTGAGAGTGGGTTGCAACCCAAGGCGCGTCCCCAGCCACCGAGCGGAGGGGTTGTGCCCTGGCACAAACCCTCCGGGAAGACCACCCACAGGCCCCCCTGGAGAATCAACGAGTCTGACATGAGACGATAACTCGAAGCTGCCGCTTGCAGATACTGCATCACTGCAGACTCTGCAAACAACAAGGGACAAAAAGGAATAGAAAAGCCGATTCAACAGATTGAGCAAACACCGCCTGCTGGCAAGCAAGACGAGAAGCAAAAAACAGAGACACTGCCTCCCGCAGGATCGGCGCAAACAGGTTCAACAGGCAGCCGATGTCCTCACCACCGAGACCAGCGCACCAGACCCAGGATCAGCTTCGAGCACTTCCACGTCCTCCTCAAGCTAGTCTGAAGACAGCTCGAGAAGGGGAAAGAAACTGAAGACCGAAGCCAAATGGCCACAGGCGTGCAAGTCCTCAGCAACCAGGGCAGCTGAAAGGGAGGGAACCTGCACATGAAGCTGCATCAGGCTGAACAAACGGGCATTGATGTGTTCAAATTCGCACCCCAGGTAAACTTGAACCACCGTAAGGGTCTCTTGCCACTCAAGCATGTGGGACCAACAGAACGTATGCCACGCCCCTAACGAAAAGACAGGACTGTCTGCCAACCAGGACAACTCCGGAACCTTCCAACATACCCAGTAAGGAAGGAAGAACTGAACTTGAAAAAGGCAGGATCCATTATTGAAGTGTAATCAGGGTCGCGCAGGAGGTAAGCCCCAATGGCCTCCTGCACCTCATGAGGCGGGATGCGAAAGGTCGAAAACCTCTGAAAAGAAGGAACCGAAGTACTCAAGGGAACCCGGAACCGAACCCTGGGAGGGGTCGACGCCTTATCAAATTCATATAAGGAGGGAGGATAAGAAAACCCTACTCCCTGCAACAACAAGCCCTGCTCAGAGGGTACCAAAACCTAAGCGGGGTCAAATGGGGCCCACGCACCCCCCCCCCCCCCAAGTCAGCTCCTCCCCTGCCCCAAAAAACTCTACATCGGGACCCGGGGCCAAGCCGTCCTCCAAAACCTCCGCCTCAAAAGAAAAGGCAGAAGCCGCTGGAAAAGCTGGAATGAAGGGGGACCCTGTTGGTCAGACCCAGAAGCCCTGGCTGGAATGTCTTCCTCATCACACCAGATGGGGCATCCCCCAAAACTGCCCGAGTCTCATCACCAACTAAACCCTGCACCGAATCCAAAACCCTCAGATGTTTCGAGGATGGAAGCAGGAGGGAAAAGAACAGGACGAACAGCAGGCGAAGGACTAGGGAGAGTGAACGAAACCCGAGTAGAGGTGGCTAACACCCCCAAGTCCAGGTCCCTATAATAAAAATGGGGCAGCCTCAGGGCATCCAGGTGAGCAACCAACCTAGTGCACTGCAGCAACCTAAAACACGCATGCAACGCCAATGTTGCCTGCACCTGAATATCAAGATCGTTGCTTGGGGGAAGTGGAATGTGAACTTAGGTGAAAGCAACACCACTTGCAGGACTCTGGGTCGAAGGTGTCACCGACCCAACAGGCAGCATGACGAAGGCAAAACCGGTGATTGTCACCCTGAAACAAGGCGACAGAGCAACCATCAAACTCGCATGAAGCGAGATGGGACCCAGGGGATGCATCCACTCGACCACAAGACATAGCCACTTGACTATTCCAAGTAGTGATATAGGAAAAAACTTCAAAACCCATCACGAGTCAACCACACATAGTGAGCAGGTTTCACAAAGTGCCTAATTACAAGACCAGTTAGCTTACCTGTCTTGCTGGTTGCGTGGAGTCGTTGGCGTCTTACGAGCAGGTGTTTTTTGTCCTTGTCCTCGTACCGTCAGCTTGGGAATTACACGGGTAGGCGATTTACCTCTTCCTGTGGAACAGTACATTATATTATTTCCGAAGCATTTTTTCCTTCAAATTCACATATTTCCCGTTACATTTTCCCCATCTCTTTTGAAACTAAAGAGAAAAAACAAAATCAACTGATATTGCAACTTCATCCCACTTCCTCTAATACTAATTTGTACAACACGACACGCCAGGTTATTATTCCTAACCAGAGAGCCTAGTGATATTCCTCGCAGCTTACAACACATAGTCTTTAGCTGCTTGCTAAAGCAGCAGCTATTTTGTACATTTTATCAAATTATCTTCTCCCATCCCACTTTTAATTATATATTTATGGGAGACCGCCCTTTATTTAACATTCAGCCTTACTAGTGTAACACTCACACAAACCAACAAGCTCCAGATATTCCTCTAGCTTACTGCTTTACTATCAAACAATTGAAGATGCATCTTCCGTTAGCACATCACTGAAGACATTTCTGCCCCTCTTTTCAACTACACCATATCTTTTGTACTGGAAGTACAGTACAGTACATCCTTTTGTTTAACTCTCTGGCTGTGCATCATTCATATGATAGAGTACCTAAATATGCCCAAGACTGCACATCACATCATATAATGTAGTTGGAAATTTTAGGTAGTCAAATCTTACACATACATGGGACTCACAGTTGCTTCCTCAGGCCTCCACTAGCACACCCCCCTATTTCAGAGAGGAGAAAAAAAAAAAAAAAAACTAACTTGAGTCCGTCACTTTCCTTCTAAAGCCTTAGTAAAATAAATGAGGATCATATCTGGCATCACCACCCAGTGTGTGAACATTCAAAGTGGCCATGACAACAATGGACATAACGACAGAAGAGAAAATGGGCAGACATGCCACCAAATGGTTTCCAGACTTCAACAAAACCTATGAGAAAAAAACTGTTCAACATGCAAAAGTTGGTAGATAGAAGGAACAGGAGATATGATCACCATATACAGGATTCTGTATTGTGATCAACATAGTTGACAAGGAATTTTTTTTGTTTTATACATTGCAACATCTAAAAAAAGGGGTCACAGACTCAAGCTTATAAAGCAAAGGTGTTGAAAAAGATGCCCTAAAATTCTCTCATGAACAGTTGAGGACACATGGAACAATTTATGAGAGAAGGTCAAAACCATCAGCAGCTTCAAAGTGTCAAATGACATAGGGAAGATAATATAAGATTACAGGAAGACGGGACACCACAAGCACAGCTCTCGTCCTGTAACTACACCTGGATAGTTATACTGCCCTGCCATCCCCGACAGGCAAAATTGTCGATAGTTAAACTTACTTTGTTTTGCCTTGAATTTTATCTGCACAGGCTTTGCAACAATTTGTTATGTGATTTTCATCAAGATTTCCAGACTTCTACCTAATATTATCCTTTCACATTTCCTGCATTATGTCTTGTAGCAATTGTGAACAAAAAAAACTTCAATTAATAAAAAAAAAAAAAAAAAAAAAATTAAATGTAATGAAACGCCATTTTCTGGGTAGAGCCTCATCGGCTCCCAGGAGTCATTGGACTGATATTAGATAACATTAGTACAGGGCTTCAGTCATATGGAGTTGTCATACCTACTGGGGACCACAAGTCAGAACATGGTCCCCTCAGAGAGGTGAAGGAAGCAATAGGTTATGAAACTTTCAAGTATTAAAGTGTTCATGTCTGCCATGGACTGGGGTTGAGTACCCAGAAAGGAAGGCGCTTCAAAACAGACCCCTACTGGTAGGAAATTGCAACCTGAGACTGAACAGAGACAAGAAGCTCCCCAAAGAATAACAAGCAACATGTCATCAAACCGCGTGCTGCCGGATCGACAGTTAGAGGTTGAAAAATGGAATGAAAGACCGGGGGAGGGGGAGGGGGAGGGGAGTGCCAGGAAGCATTTCTATTACATTCAATGCTGGCTTTCTGTGGGGAAGCCCCATTGGCTCCCTGGGGCTGACTACCAAGAAAAATAATAAAGGGAAGTTACTCGGGAGGCGGCTGTACTACACGACTCGTACCGAAGACGAGACAACTGGCTGCAACCGCCGACCCAAGGCCGCCGAGGGCCCAGCACATTTACAAGATATCGAATAGCCAGGACCCTGTTCAATCTTCAGAAACCCTCATGCCCAAATATCCACCCAAGACATATTGCAAAACATTGCAGCCAAAGCTGCAAAACTTATAAACATCATGGGTGCAAGGATAGACCATAGGCTGGGTAGACTTGATAACCCTGCGGATGACCCGAGAGACCCAAGCCCTGGAACGGGGAACAAGAGAAACCAGGTCAACCCAAAGCGCATCCCTGGACACAGAAGCAGACACACGCAGGTAACGGCGTAAAGCTAACACCGGACACAAAACATGATACACCTCCAGCCTAACCAATCAAGCATCAATAACTGACTTAGCACTCGAGAAGACGCTGGAACGACTCCTGACTAAATTCTTTCCTCGATCCGTCTGACCCACCGCATCCCTCCTCCGCATCTACTATGCTTGACATCCAACCTCCTGCGGCTACCCTTGATGCTGAACTGATGCTGAAAACCAAACCACCCTCAATAACACCTTGGCTCGCCTTACACGAGTCACTCTTGGGTAAAGCGAGCCACTGACTTGCTGCAAACCCTGACCCCCGGTACCAAGAGCAAGCAATCCTCAGCTGTTCCAACTTCCAAGCGTCCTGCCACCTTGCCTGACAAACCACGAACATCTTGCACTCCTAGGTGTGGAGCGACACATCCTCACCCCACTCCCAGGACTGCCTTACGCTGTCCTACTGGCACATCCAAGAAGACTGATGTGATTGCATCCTAAATGTAAAGTTCCAGAACACTCAATGTTTTACACTGTCACTTACCCTAGCCTACACGTTAACCCGATGTTCTTTCAGGTGCTCGCACTTTCCTTCCTTTCTCGTATCTGATTAGCAACTGCCTCCCAAATACCCTTCACCTCCACCTCCGTCTCTTGCGTACATCCCACTGTTTCTATTGTTCGGTGATTCTATGCTCTTACGTTTCATGCGACTCCTCATCTTTCCTGCCCAGAGTTCCTTTCCTCCCGTCTGTTTATTTTTGTTTTTATTCTTGCCCACATAGAAGAAGTCGATATTTTCCCGCCTCCTGCCACATCTTGACCATTGATGCGCCATTGTGCGTGCCGCATCTCTCTTCATTACTTGTGCAGTCATCGGGAAGAAGAACCTTCATGCAAACAGCACGTATTGCAAAGAAGCAGCAGCATCAATAACCATCGAAACCCTCCAGAAGCCTGCCCTCTCGTTCTTCTCCAGAAAAGATGGAGACAGCTGCAAACTAACAAAATGTCTACCCGGACCAAAAGAGCAAAGGCTTCTGGGCTAGAGGAAAGCACGAGATCTCCAACCCAACCCCCAAAGACAAAAAGAATAAAGCTTTCTGGAAAGAGGCCTGGACCGAAGGGGCCACCACATACCGAGGGGGAGAGAGAAAGGAGAGCACCTGGTTCAAAGACCAAGACGGCTCAGGCAGCGCATGAGCAGGCCGGAGGTGGAAAAAGGCACGAGAAACCTTGCGAAACAGAGCCAGCGACATCTACCCTGAACGCAAGCTGGAGTGGCTCTGCCAGCACCGTACGACACGAGGCGACAGTATTAGGCATAAGATGCCTGTCCAGAAAGAGTCAAGAAAAATCAACTCCTGTTCACCAGGAACCCAAACCCAGCAAGCTGGGAAAGAACTAAACCCCCTGGCAAGCAGACACGCAGACTGGCTGGGAGCCCAGACCAACCAGTCATCAAGGTAGGCCAAAATATGAACACCCAAGAGACGCAGGCGGGCCACCATGACTTGGTTAAGATGCATGAAAACGAGAGGCGCCAGGTACAGCCCGAAAGGAAGGCAAAAGTAGTAAGTCTGATGCCCCACCACGAAACCTAACCAGTCCCTGAACCCCAGATGAATAAGGATGTGCCAATACGTATCTCGGAGGTCCAAAAACACCATCCAAGAACCCAGCTCCAAGAGAAGCCGGACCCGAGACAGAGTGGTTATCCGAAAGGAGGGGCAAGGAACCCAGGGATTCAGATAGGACAAGTCCAGAATGAACCTCAGATCCGCACAGTTCCTTTTCGGCACTGGAAACAGGCAGGAAACCCACCTAAGGGACAAAGTCGTTTCGACCACACCTAAGCGCACCCACCCACAAGAAACTTAGATGATTGTCATGCCCTTCAAGATGACCTGGACAAAATAAGTATCTGGAGCACCACTTGGCAAATGGAATTTAATGTTAATAAATGCCATGTTATGGAATGTGGAATAGGAGAACATAGACCCCACACAACCTATATATTATGTGAGAAATCTTTAAAGAATTCTGATAAAGAAAGAGATCTAGGGGTGGTTCTAGATAGAAAACTATCCCCTGAGAACCACAAAGAATATTGTGCGAGGAGCCTATGCCACGCTTTCTAACTTCAGAATTGCTTTTAAATACATGGATGGCGATATACTAAAGAAATTGTTTACAACTTTTGTTAGGCCAAAGCTAGAATATGCAGCGGTTGTGTGGTGCCCATACCTTAAGAAGCACATCAACAAACTGGAAAAGGTGCAAAGACATGCTACTAAGTGGTTCCCAGAACTGAAGGGCAAGAGCTACGAGGAGAGGTTAGAGGCATTAAATATGCCAAAACTAGAAGACAGAAGAAAAAGAGGTGATATGATCACTACATACAAAATAGTAACAGGAATTGATAAAATCGATAGGGAAGATTTCCCCAAGACCTGGAACTTTAAGAACAAGAGGTCATAGATATAAACTAGCTAAACACAGATGCCGAAGAAATAAGAAAATTCACTTTCGCAAACAGAGTGGTAGACGGTTGGAACAAGTTAGGTGAGAAGGTGGTGGAGGCCAAAACTGTCAGTAGTTTCAAAGCGTTATATGACAAAGAGTGCTGGGAAGACGGGACACCACGAGCGTAGCTCTCATCCTGTAACTACACTTA